CAGTATCGAATAGTTGCTCTTTTAACTACTTTATGTATTCACTGTTTCGTGTGAAGTCCTCATTAAAATTCCCCAAAATGTCTCGGGCTAGGATCCTCCTTCATATATATATTTTACTGTTATTAATATACCTTCCATGTTGGTAAAATCTCTGATTAATTCTTGTTGAACGATCATCAAATATACCAAGGACAAATTGATTTAAATTTTTTATGAATGAGCACTTTCTAATCTTTGGCCTAAACATCGCAGAATGAAGTTCACTAATTCACTCACTCATTAATTCCATTGCCAACTTCTTTTCATGACGTCACATTCCTGTGGGGTACAGAAAAAATAATGCTGAGGCTTATATGAGATATATTCACCATATATCGTTCAAGGTAATGAAGGGCTGATAGTAGAATTTTCCCACAATGATATGAGTAGAGCTGACGTTTCCAATCAATTTCGCAAAGCCTTGCCATCCCAAAAGTTGCTCTCATCCAGGGTAGACTGCAGTTTCGACATCGCATAGGCCTTATCAACGCCCTCAGCGGGATTCAAGCCGTGATAGCGGAGCATGTGAGCTTGACACGTTGACCACTCGGATGACATGCTACACTGTCATGGTTCGACTCCCGCTGAAGGTGGTGATAAGACCTATGCGAAGTCGAAATTGCAGTCCACCCTAGATGGGAACAACTTTTTGGAAAGCTAGGCTCCGTGAAATTCAATGGAGACGTCAGCTCAACTCATATCATTGTGGGAAAATTCTACTACGAGTCCTTCATCACCTTAAATGAAATTGGGTGAATACATCTCATATTACTGATTTACTGGTAGTCTCGAAACTCGACTTATATAAGAAAAATTCGGGGGCTTGTTTCATACAGTCTACAGGTCCTTCTGTCATAACCTTAAATAGAAGGTAAGAGAGTAAGTCAAAAGTGAAATGTTGATTTATAAAGTTTGATTGTGAACAAAAGAATACAACTTGGTAGTGCAAATTAGGCTATATCTCTCCTAGAAAGTGAAATCACAACGACCTGACAACAGTTTGTCTGAAGCCCAAATTTGCAACGATAGTACAAAACATGAATCGGGCGAAACTGTAGGCAGAAGAAAAATACCAATATCTACTGCTAACTTTTGGGAATTCTGCTAAACTTTTCTCTCACGAGCCAAGGTTTCACTAGAGATAACCTAGCTAATTCATCAGATACTATAATCCCATAATGACAGAGTTTTCTGCAATCACTCATTCTTAATCACTTTTTATCTACTCCAGCCTCGCTAAGCAATACAGATACAATTTTCACTTCCCTCTATCTGCCTGCAGGTTGGGGCCTCTCAGAAAACATGATACAACAATAGGAGGTATGAAGACCAAGATGGCGAAGCCTTTTGTGTGGTCGCAGTCTCCTTTTGTTGTATAGAAGTTGTTTAAACTTGTTTTCGCAACTTGATCAAATTAGTAGGAAGACTTAGAGGAACGCACCTAGTCCGGAGTCCATTGTATTCACGATCGTTTCCGGAGTAGGACCGTGGACGAGGTACATTCCCAGACGTTTCGCCGGCATCGTCGGTGAGTCTCTCCATTCTTAGTGCCACACAACAACTCGTCAAAGGGACAAGTCAATCCGATCCTTTGACCAACCGTGTGCTAAACAGTTGTGGTATCTCTCCATCTGCCATGGGCTTTTCACATTTCCAATATCCTCGTATCATGTCTTCACTATTCCAATTTGTTACCGTGCTTATTCAGATGTAGTGCTGTGTACCCTTTTGAGTTGCAGTCATGACAACCCTCCATACTCCACGCTGGCGTTCTCACCTCCCTTCACCCTTGTGCTGGGAATGTTGATCAGAGTCTGCCATATTGTTACGCAGTCCTCCTTCCCTAGGTTTTATCACAGTCTCTCTCTTGCCCCGTAAGATCCGTCTGCTCTCTCCCTGGTTCACGTATTTCACTGGACCCCTGCCACGCCATCTGTGCTACTCGAGTTGGTATTCGCCCTCCCCTCGCTACATGGACTACGTTTTTGGTAAAATCTACTGTCAGCCAACTAGATCCGCTCTCCTGTCTCTATCACTAATAACAAGTATATGACTTTCTATGTGGTTCATCAATGAACCTAATCAAAGCAAGCGGTACCTCTAGGTCTTCCTACCAGTATGACCAAGTTGCGAAGACAAGGTCAAACAACCTCTATGATAAAATAATGTTGAATCGACCTTGTTTCGCAACTCGTCATGGAGACCTTGTGAAACGCACCTAGTCCCCCATTCTCTGCCATTGTATTCGTGATTTCCAGCATTGGACCATTGGCTGGGTACATGCCCAAACGTGTCGCCGGCATCTTTAGTGAGAGGCGCTATCGTTAGCTCAGGATTACAACAAAAATTCGGTGACTGTTCACTTTGATTAGTTGTAACTCTGTTGGTTCTTGATGAGACAGAATTTTCGAGATAAATTCCATTTTCATCTCCCATTTGGTCTCATCTGGGAATTTCTCCGAGTTGTTGATAACCTCTAGCAGAATATCTTCTAAAATCTTCCTTTCAACACCTAGTGAAAAATTTAACATTTTCTTCAGGAGATCCACCGTTTCGTAATCAAGAGGGATTGAGGATAGGCCTTTTACCTTTATTCCTATCGTCGGCGGTAGCAGTTGATGCCTTGAATATAGAACCATCAAAATATGTTTGTCTTATTATCACATACCTAAGCAATCTATTGTTATGTCGCTTATTTATCAAATCCCGGACCCTCTGTGACTTCAGATCTGTCATACTCTGGAATTTTTTTAAATCATCCAAAGTGAGAATCTTCCCTTCATCCTTCCTTAATCAAGACTTAATATCTATAAACTTAAATAGCTTACGCCTCTCAGTCCCTTAACTGTACCCTAATGTCTGGATGTAGGCGTGATAAAGTATTTCATTAACTGTGCCCGAATGACACTTCCTCATTAGGTTGCAAAATCCGGGAGCGATACCAGAATACTTGCAACAATTGAAAAAGATCAAATGGCAGGATCGACTTACAATTTATTTCCTGGTTGAAAGAAATTTAATGAGTAGGAGACGTGAAGATGGTAGGATTAGCGAAAACTTTGTATAACGTCTAGGCGAACTCGGAGAAGATCAAGGAACAGCAATACCAGCAAAAGAATACGACTGGACAAAGGTAATACTTTTAATTTTATCAAAATAAATTACAAGGAGACGATAGAGGAACAATCGGAAACCAAAAAAAGACGTCTACAGTGAGCCTACTCAAATCAGGTAGAACCATCATATTTGGGGGTTTGGCACGCCATTGAATGTCATAGAAGAGCGAGGGAAACGGTAGTGGCTATTTCTAGTTGACTATTAGTAGATAAGTTTGCTCATAAACGTGGTCCATGAAGTAAGGGCTTGACCACAAGATAAGTAAATCTGCAGCGTCAAGTTTGGTTGCCATCCCAATTGAGAATCCAGACTTTAGAGGCTTGCTCAGTGAGGTTGGTGTATACGTGCTATTAAAGGCATGAGGCAGAGCTTACAGCATAACGCCGTGAGTAGCACGGATACGGCGGCAGCGATGGCGTGAAATCGTAGGCAGATAAGGGAAGAATCCTACGGAACAAGAGGTGTCTCCGATAGGATACGAAGAAAGAAGATTACAGAATAAATCACAGCCTTGAATCAACATTCCCGTCCAAGTGGGAGGGATGTGGAAGCCAGCAGGGAGTGTGAACAGCTTTCCAATAGGCATAGATAAACCATTAAGAAATTGTGATATTGAAGGGGTGATAGGACGATCTGGGATAAGTGAATAGCCCGGGACAGAAGAAGAGATACCACAACTGTTGGGCACACAATCGGTCAAAGGATTGACTTCACTTGTCGCTTTGATGAGTTTTACTGTCATGGCAAGGCTCACGATGCCGGCGAAACGTCTGGGAATGTGCCAAGTTGATGGTCCGATTCTGGAAATTATCATGCATACTATGGTCTCCGGACAAGTTGCGTTTCTCTAAGTCTTCCTGTCAATATGACCAGGTTGCGAAAACAAGGTCAAACAATTCACATACAGACCAAGGAGACCGCTACCATACAAAAGGCCACACCATCCTGATCTTCATATCTTCGATTAAAAGTGTTTTTAGCTTTTCCCTTTCAAGCTGCAACTCCTTTTAGGCCTGGCAAATTGAAAAAATCTGCCATTTATGTTTAGGAGGCAAAAGCGCGTGAGTTCTTTTTGTAACTGTTACCTGACGGTTAAGTAAACTCCATTTGCACGACTCTCATTTTGACTGGACTCACACATGATTACTGCCAAGTGTATATATATTCAGGTAACTGCTTGCATATTCAGGGCTTTGGAGGAAAAATCTAAGACGTCAGCAAAACTATTATTAAATTATTGTCCTCAAGATGTTTGCTTTAAAAGAAGACC